TTTTTTAAAAAAATAATAATACAAATCACGTAACAGATGTACCCTTGAATTTTATCATTTTTATATTCATCGCATGCATCGTTTTCGTCTCAGCCACACAGAAGTATGAAAAGTATGATTGTGCTAAGAAAACCATTTTCCATGTTTTTTAAGAACCTGTTGATCGTTTCTTTGCCGTTACTTTGTTGAATTTCGAATGAGGACATACGCTGAATATTGTCGGTTTTCATGTAACTTTTGTTCGTTTTTTATGTTGTTTAACGTTTCATTTCGATGAAATTGCAATTGAAAACAGGAGACGATAATATATATGTATATATATAGAAAGACTAAGAGGAAGAGAATAAACGCGCGCGAGAACGAGCGCAGTTTCGATAACTATTCGCATGTCGGTCTTGTGTTTCCTAGAAGAATACAAATTTTATCGACGAAAATTATATAGCGAAGCGTATGGATTATGCATGAGTAAATGTCAAGTCTTTATAATTTCATTTTCCACGTAGCTGTATCGGTAAACCATGAAAAATCTATTCATCTACGATAAATCGTAGAATAACATAACAAAACGAGTGGTAATTTTTTCTTTTTTAATAGCAAATAACGCTACTTTTTAATCAATGTCTGCCTGATCATTTGAAGCTTCAATTCTTGAAGCTTGAACAGTTTTGATTGTTGTTATAATATTTGTAGCATTTGTCCAATGGTTTTCTTTTCCTCTGGTAATGAGTTCTATTGGTGCGAATAAAAATATTTAAGTAAATTCTTTGACGAAACAAGACAAAGAAAACTAATGATACATTCGTTCGTGGCGCGTTGGTTACTTATAGAACATTAAGAGTATACTTTGAAGCCAATTAGGAAATATAATGACATTCCTCCATGCATTGTATGGTAAATAAATCCATCGATTATTATCTTTACTTCCATAGCTCGCAATTACTAAAGTGAAAGACATGGGAATATTTCCATATTCCTTGTAAATATTACAAATCCTAATGTAGTGTCACGAACTCGTCACTTTATGATACTAGGACGTCTATGGTACAAGCTTCCCAAACGCAACATTAGGATCTAAATTTATATGCTACAGTCTCATACGAGGGATGATTCAATGCACGTTAATAGCACAGAAATGCATGGTTCAGCGATCAATGAAATAATCAAAACGTTCTGTATTCATCGAGTAACTTTAATGCTAATTCAAGGATAATTATTGTTAACAATAGTTTCATTATTTCACAGCCTGGAAGCCTTCAACGTATTACTACTTTATAAAGAAATAAACTGAATAATATCTTATCATATATTAAACCGAATCTATGTACAGTGTTGAAATAATCATACGAGTTTACGATAAGTCAAATCACTCTATTCTGTGTTCGCTGAAATGAGCAATATATAATGTAATTATTAAAGGTATCTATAAAAGATTTACTATACAGTTCTCGTAGGAAGTAGTTATATCTCTGACGTGTATCGTTTCCTTTTAAATAAAATTTACAATCATAAACGCACACATAAAAGCATCACTTTGAAAAACGTAGACTTCATATTGCAAAGGCGAATTATCATCTAAAATTAACTTTTTACAAAATTTAAATGGTACGCGTTCGTTATTACTTATTGCCAGATCTTCTTCATGAATTATATGAAAATTTCAAAAATTACAAAAAGAAGAGATGTCTCAAGCGCGAATATCTCTGTGCAATATTTTCACGATAAAATAATTAATGCTGTGTCTGAGAAAGCTTGTTGTATGATTGCAATAACTGCATCACAGATACTTTAGCAGTACTTGCATGTATGAGTAGAAAAAAAATGACAAAGAAGTGCTGTCAATGTTTCGATATCTCAGAATGAGGCTATTAATTTGTCAAACGTAAAAGTGTAGTATTCATCTGTTACTAATTTCTACACGAATAATTTCCACCGAGGAAAAAATGGAAAAGAACGTAAGCCAGGAGTCACTGTAATGCATTTAAAAAAATAAATTGTCTTATACTTTCGTTTTTTTTTCTGTTGTTGTAAACATTCAGCGAAATACTGTGTTTGCATTGAGTAATTGCAGTTGTTCAATGAGCAAGGAAATGACCGACTTAGAAAAGTGAATTAGTGCACGATCTTTTTTTTCTGTTCGAAATTAACTTAGTACTTGCAACGGAATCGATACTATTCTCTCTTTATCGCCACAACAGGCAACTGATCAGAGCATTTCTGCAATTGGGTCTAGCCGTACCGCATTTCGTATTTAACGAGCCCGTAGTGCATGTCCAGGCCCGGAATCAGGCAGACATAGGCAAGGTAAATTTAGCGAAGCCCCCAGTGACGTATTGGCGGCAGCAGGGGTGCTGATAGCAGGCATCATGTCACTTCCATTGCTAATGAATTTGTTTTGTTTGCCCGTACAAGCTGCTGCTGCTGCGGTTTACCATCACAAGCTGCAGTTTCCACTCCATCCACCTCCATATCCAAACTTTCACTATAATCAAACACGTAACTGTTACTAACAAATATTGTAAAAGAGAAATAACGATCTTTTGAATGATGTCAAATACTAACTTACATTTTTCGAGTATTATTCCTATATGATAACACACTGTATACAAGTAACAAATAATCTTATTTTTGCTATGCATCACATAGAGCTGGGTAAAATATATAGGAAAAATTCAGTAAACTGAGAAGAAATAGTATTATCACTGAAGGAAATAATATTTTAATGAGTATTAACTTTTAACAAAGTTAAAAGTATTCTTCAAATAGGGTACTATGTATCTTCACATACTATTTTGGAGACTTGTTACAGCAAATAAGATATTTTATTTTGTACAGTTAATATGGTCTATTTAAAACAAAACAGAGTATTTACTATTTGCGGTAATGTTACCCAACACTGACTTAATATTCATACATTAAACATTTGCTAAATACCAAGTCATTTATTTTGGTTACTAACTTGATGTAGAAATCAAAATATATGTTGTTCTAAAATCGATACATACACAATGTGCTAATATACAGATTCATACATTGGGAATTCTGTTTTCTTCTAATCCATTTTCTATAAAAAATATAAATATAAAATAAGTTAACAATGACAGCCTCAAGTGCATATTACTCTGTGCATTTAGTGTAACTTTTCTTTTTTATTTAGCCCATATTTTCAATTAGCCAGTACAGTGAAGATATAAAACGATTTAACGTTTACTCGACATTTCAGTCTTATCATTATTGTAATTAGCGAGAACGTATACACTCACCTATTACTATTAAGCGTAATTTCCCCGGACGTTGGGATTTGTTGCGCCTGACTTTGCGTTTGTTGTTGCTGCCTCGCGAGACTCGCCAATTTGCTCTGCGCGATCAAGCCAGGTAGCAGACTGGACGGCGGATGTTTTTGCGGCAGAACTATCGTCGACTGATTATTCACCATGTGAGTGCTATTTGAAATGTTGTTAGAGTTATTTATATGAGGTAGCGGACCATTCTGATGGCCATTACCAAAGTTTGTTATCGTTCCACTACTCGTGGTACTCGCACTGAACACTCTAACCCCAGCACTACCACTGCCGCAGTTGCCGCCATTTCTATTATTTGTTGGACTAGTCAAAGACTTAGATAGAATGGAGGCAGTACTGCTATTGTTTGGCAATTGTCTGTGTTGTTGTTTAGTCTGATGATTCGATTGTGTCTCGGTAGCAGTACTGGCGCACTGCGTGGACACTGTACTCGACGTTGCCGCTTGATTGGTCGTACACGAGAAAGACGACGGGACCGTAGAACTTGTAGAAGTATTTACAACACTAGAACCACTACCACTGCACTGAGGCCGACCCTGCTGTGCCGCAGGTTGTGCAAAATAATTGCTAGGTAGCGGAGTCACAACGAAATGTGAACTGCCCAGCTCATCTGTCCGCGAGTCGCTAGAGTTATTGTCCGACAGTCCACTAACACATCCACTACCGGTGATATTCGCTATGGCAAGGTCGAAGTCCGATAGAGCGTCCACTGAGAAATAATCTGCGATATTAAACTCAGACGTGAAAGGTGGCTCGTCTCCCGCACGTTCAGGCTCCACTTCCACGCAAATGGATGTCGCCTCGGGTGGGAACGGGTACGGAAGTGGTTTCGTTTGCGATAACGTTGGCTCTACATCCGAGTCCGTATCACTACTTTCTTCACTTGGACTATGCACTGACACGGGCGGAGTCTTTGGTCGGAAATGTAACCTGCGCCATAAGTAAATATACTTATGAGTAAATCACATTGTGGTAAAGAACATTCCTTAGGCTGCCGTTCAACGTACCACTCTTTCTTGACTGGAGTTGTGGATGTGGCAGTTGTTGTATCGGAGTCCACGGGTTCTCGTTTTGGTTGATGTATCGTGAAGTCTAAAGACGACCACATATCGTCCATATCGGTCGAACAACGATCCAATATGACTCTACAAATATAAAACATCATATGTGGATTAGTAATATGTATTTTTTCTGTTTCTGTTCTTATGGTATGTATGCGCTGTACCTGCCACCCCGACCAATTCGTCGCCGCGCGAAACCAATACACCTTGGTACTGGTTTGCTGATACTGGTCAGTGCAAACCTATACTTCTTATCGGCCAAACCCCCTTCGTTTTTATCACACCAAGGCCAATTTCCAAACCCACCTGATACAGGCTGCAAAGAGAAAAGCTCTATATCTACAATCCTGAAAGAAAGAACTTTGAGACTATTTCCACACTTGAACAGAACTCATGACGATTGTCATTGACATCCATGGAGTAAAAAAGTAACATAGACCCATGTAACAACACAAAGAGTCCTAGTAGAATCAAATTTCAAATGAAAATTAGGATTACAATGTATCACCCAAAAAAATGTACAGAAGAAACGAAAATTTGCGCAAATGTAACACCACTCACTGGTAAATAAGTGCTATTTCTATTCCGTCGAAAAGCGAATTGACCCTCGTCTGCGGTGTCTTCGTCATCACGATCAGAGGGAACCGAAGGTTGAGAATGTGAATGAGATGGAAGCGGACTATCTTCGTCTGAGCTCATTAGCGGGTCCAGCCCGCTCCCAAGAACGCCAGGTCGACTTCCTCGACCACCTCCGCTACCTGTTCCACCACGTACGCCGTTGTCGTCCAAACTTCCTCCTCTGCTGTCAGTTTTATGTTTCCGCTTCTTGTACTGTCTTTTTTCTTTTCTTGGTACAACTTCGTCCTGCTTATAACGAACAACGTCGTACGCATCAGCACCGAGTAGAAATTCTATTTTCCGAATAAAAATATGATACTTACTTTACTACAAACTTTATTTGCCCAATTTTGATGAACACCAAATTGATTTGTAAACAATGGAGCAAAAGCTGGTCTTGGTGTCTTTAGCGCCGATACTTCTGCCAATATTTGTCCACTGAAGTCTTGTGCTTGGTATCTGTGCACATATTTCCAATTGTATGAAACTTAACGGTCGGTTTTGTAAAAGATAAATAATTCTAAGCAAGGAACATTCATTCCAGACCTTTTCTCGTAGACTTCAATTGTAAGATGTAAGTGTTCCCTTTTAGTCTTCTCTCTTCGCTTAACCATTTCAAGGAGAGTAACTGCTCTACTAAGATCCCTACGAAGTTTCAGCATTTTTTCATAACTAGTTTCATCGTTCTTGCGATTTTTACGTGTTTGCATTTTTTCTGTCCTACGTCTAAACGCTAAATAAGGATTATTGGCAGCTGAACCAAACCGATGCTCCGTTTTCACCGTTAATAGAAGTGGATGTTGCTGTAACAAATGAAAGAATCGGCGTAAGGAGGATTTACATAAGAAAGAATCATTAATCATTAGAATCAACGAAATTGACATGATGTTTAGTAAAATATGGACATTGTTACATTCTATTAGGGTTCCTATAAACATAACCTTAAATTTTAAAAAATAACACTCATCAAAAACAAGTTAATTTCACATATAATATAATGGCAGATTCTTACTGTCTTAAGACGTTTATTTAGCCAGTAATCAAAAACTGCAATAATTAAATCATCATCCTCTTTCAGAAGTGCTTTAGCTTCATTAAGGGTGACAACAGTTTGCCCTGAACTTTTCTCCAATCGATCCATCATTTCTTCAAATTGAAGCGGTGTTAAGTCCATTTTACGGCTTTGCACTGCAACCCACTTTTCATCTTCTGAATCCATATCATAATCCGGAATATCTTGTTCCATTGCAAATGCTTGAAAAAGAGATGCAACAATTGTTAGATTTTTGGTTCACAAAATATTATTCAGTATCATTTTAGTACTTCTCAGTTTATTTGCTTACGTTGCATATGTATGAGTTGACGAGGAAGCTTATAATCAGCTGGATATATTTTGTCATATGCTTCTGCGTCTGCCAAGTCGCTTACTTCAGGGGTAGGAATGATTAGACCCGTACATATTGCTCTTTGCAAGTGATGTTCCTACACAAAGAATCAAAAAGAAATAAAAAATTTATTAGCTTTAAGTTTTGTTTTTATTTTCCCTTCTATAAAAGAGAGATACAATAAGGTAAAATATAATACAATTCCTATTAATCGAATATAACATTTACAGACATAAACATAATATTCTCCTAAAATTGATGACACAAGACAAATACATTAAGTTGTGTATTATATTTGAATTAATAGTTCAATTACTATGAACATCTTTTAAAACTAAAAGACAAAAACAATAAATAATGTTATACTACTTATCTCAAACAATATTTCAATATTTTTGTTACTTCGATAACGCATTGCCATCATTAGTACTCAACTCCAATGAAAGAAACAGAATAATCATTGTTTACACATGATCAAATGCTTAAACGAAACGAATGCTTCACAAATAAAGTTCCGCACAGAATAATACGGTACAGAAGGTCTAGGAACATCCAAGAAACAGAAAAGTTTCACATTCTTCTGCACCGAACAGCAACATTGAAGTAACATTTTTCAGGTACAGTTTAATCAAAACAAGAAGCTGACAGCTGTCAGTAACCTCTGATATCGATGCACCAATGTTCAAAGAACAAGAATCACGAGCAAAAAATCATTGGCAATTACGTTTAACATTAGAAAATTAGAAATATTTGCTCATAATAATGGTAAGCAGGCTGCCATCTGTCGGTTGTTTACGAAGATGCGCCCGAGGGTAAGATGGCGGACGGGGAAAACATGCTGGAAGAAGTCTGAACAGTTCGACTTACACATTCCTCCTCCTTTTCCATGCCGCTGGGCATTTGGGGCACAGCACGGTTAATGGCCGAGTAATCTGGCAGATCCGGCAGTTCCTCGGCCATGTAAATCGGCATGGGCTTGGAAGCGTCCAGGGCGCGGGCCCTGAACGACAGCTTGCTCATCCTGAGGCGGCTGGCTCGCGTGTTGACAACCGAGTTGGCTGGTGTCGAACCGTGAGGCCAGTCGGGTCGGCTCGGGCTTCGGGCTTGCGGAACGTGAACCTGACTGGGCCTGGCTGGGGGCCCTGCGCCCGTAATACCCGGCACAGAGAGCGGTCAGGGCCTCATCGTTCTCCGGCCATCGCGCTGGAACACGGTCACTCAGTCACCAAACGAGATATATCACTTTGAAAACATGTTTGCGTGACACGGTCCCTGCTCAAAGCCATCATGGCCGACGCACAGCCATTTAACACGTTCAGCTCGAGCAGTTCTCCGATGCGACGTGCGCCGCGCGGGAATCGGCTCGCTGCCGCCACCGGTCGGCTCACGATCGCCTATTGGACACAACGTTTTCGCCTCAGCACAAGCCCCGTTCACACGGTTTCTGACAAATAAATTCTTCATTTTAACAATTCCTGTAATCCACGTATAAAATATTCTGAAATGAAAACCATGAAAGAAATTTACTTGATTTCTGAGTTCGCGGAACACTTCTGGTTGAGTAGATTGTTTTGTAAGTTTAACTATTGAAATGTGAAGTCGCGTAACAATTGAATAGCGAGAGAATTTCAGATTGTTTCAAATTTAGCTTCTTTTCCTATCCTTCTT